GTCTCCCAGGTCCAACACGAAGCCAAAGAAATAAACCCCCACGATGCCAAACTTTCCAGCGCTTCCCTCGTCTCTGGAATGCCTGCCACTTCTGCTTCTGGAGGCAAAGGGGCGTTGAGAGGGAAATGACTGTTTTCTCTAGGGACTTGCTGAACAACCCGTGAACTGGATGGCCAGAGGACCAGCCACACGATTATTCTGTGGCCTGATTTCACACCCCGTGTTTTTTATGGCTGTAACGTTTCTATCCTCCCTCTCCTCCGAGGCGCTCCAGGTAGCCTTCGTGGCTCTCCCCTCTTCCACGTGACCCTCACAGAAGCCCCCCCCCCGAGATCGGGCAGGTTGGGTTGGGAGAGCCCAAGGCCGCCCGGGGACCTCGGTGGCATATCCACGCCTCTGCCAAGATCGCTCCAGGCCCCGCCCAGCAGCCTCACCACGGCACTCCTCCCCTTCCTTGGCCAGGGAGGCCACGCCTTGCGCTCTGCCTCCTGTGAGGTGCCTCCCTCCCTCCCTCCCTCCCTCCCTACTCTGCCTTTCCAAGGTTGAATGCCGATGCCAAGGCAGGGGCGGCAGGAAGGCACCTCTCGCCAGAAGCAGTCAGGCTTCCACACGGATCAGTGGCAGTACCTTCTGGGCAGCCTTCAGGTCCTTCAACAGCTCCTCTGAACAGGGACAGAAACCCAGCACGGGAAGCAGCAACGAAGACGCCGCCGTGTCGCCTGGCCCAAACTCCCCTCTGCCCCCCGGCTCTTCCTCCAAAACAGGGGCCAGGCCAACTGCAGCCTAGATGAGGGACATGCCTCCGTGGGGGGAGGACAAAGGGCTCCCACCCAAGGCAGCTTCTTGGCGCAGCAAAGCAAGGGCCTGTGGCGGGTGGGTGGGGGCTTGCCCCCTCTGCGTAGATGCCAATTTCAAAAAACCTCTCTCTAGTTAACATGCCCACAGCCTGCTCCTTCATACTGGTGAACAAATCAGGGCTTCCTTTCAACAACTGGCTTGCCTACCCTCTTACCTGCCTGGCTTTGAGACCCTCGACACAAGAGAGAATCCTCAGAGACGGTGCCCTGCAGCAGGGAGACAATCCCAGGGGGTGTATGTGTGTGGGAGAACTCCCGGGGCACGCCCCATCCAAAGAGACACGCGTGGAAGTCCCGCCAGCAGTCACTCCGCCCGGCTCCCCAGCCCTCCACGTCCAGTTGCTGGGCCTCACTCCCAGACCCAGGGCAGCCCAAACACCTTACCTCTCCGCTGCTCGCTCCAGAAAGGAAAAAGGAACACAGACACACACATACCCCCCCCTTCAATCCGCCACGTCTAAAAGAGTGACTGGTGAAACTGGAGGCCTCCTCCTTGTGCAGATGCCTGGCAAGGTCCCGCCTGCAAGCCACACAAGCTGAGCTCAAGCCCCCCCCCTCTCAGGAAACAGGAGCCTATGGATTTGGGGGGCCCTCCCCAGAAGGATCATGTCCAGTACCAGCGTGCCAGGGGTCAGGGTGCGCATGCACCCACCCACCCAGGGGCTCATGGAGACAGACGCACACCCGGGGGGGGGCCCTCCCCCCCCGCCTGGCCCCCGGGCAGAGCAGAGTCGAGAGCTGGCGCTCATGTTTTTAATATACCACAATGAGCAGGAAACATACTTGAGGAATACTTTCAGAGGAGTATATTCAATTACCATCTACAATCAACTTAAGTATGACAACAAAGTGTTTGGTGACAAATCTGGTTTCTTGAAAGTCCCGCGTGGTTCCTCTTTGCCGGTCCCCAAGCGGGATGGTGACACAGCTCCAGATCGGACCAGAGGTTACAGTGACAAAAAAGCGAACGACGTCGCAGGAGAACCCCAAGAGCCTCCTTTTTGGCTTGGCTCTCTTCGCCTCACTGGCGCTTTCTCCCGCCCACATCGCCCCACACCCCCAGCATCAAAACAGACAGAGAGAACCAGAAGTGTGTGTGTGTGTGTGTCACAGTGGGCAGGAGCAGACCAACAGACACACCCCACCCACCCCCTTTCACATTTGGCTTCTCCTGAAGTGGGCACCAGACTAGGGTGGCCGGGGGTGGGGGTGGGCACGGTGCCCTGCGTGTGTGTGTGTGTTGGGTGTGTGTGTGCTGTGCTGCTCCTCAGCCCCCCCTGCCTATCCACGGGGGTGGGTGGGGGCGTGCCGCTCTACATGACAACTCTGCTCACTCCGGCCACTAAAACCTCTGCTGGCTTCCAGCATCAAGGGAGAACTCTGAAGAAACGGGATGCCAGGAAGGGTCCGAAGCGCAGGCACGCCCAGGCGTGGCTGGGCCCAGCACCACCCCACCCCACCCTTCTGAGCCCGGAGACCCAGGAGAGTCCCTGGGATGGAGTCTTGCTTCCGGGCCACACGTGGCCAAGGGAGCCCATTCTCACCAAGGAGGGCTGGCGGGAGAGAGGGCAGAGGGCAGAGGTCTTGCCCTTCCAAAAGGGGAGGCAGATTTCAGAGGGCTGCACTGAAACGTGACTGGCTGGGAGGTACCTGAGACGGGGAGGAGGAGGAGCCCGGATTTGCGGGGGGGGGAAAAAAAGGGGGTCACGCAGCATGTGGAGGGGGAGGGGGCAGGAGGCGTCCAAAGCCAATGACAGGGCAGGAAACGCTCCGGTGTCAAAACTAATTCATTTATACCACAATGAACCACAAAGAAAGCAAGCCCCCCTCTAGACGATACAAACACACAACCGCTACATGGCATATACATACATACATATATACACGTACGTACGTATGTATATGTATTTCTATGTGTGCATGTATATGGAACGGATAAAATAGTGGGGGGAAACACAAAACTGTACAACTTTAAAATGCAAAAAAAAAATGCTCCTCTCAAGCAGAGAAAGAGAGAAATGTGAGAGGGTCCTGTGTTCAAGGGAGACTGCGATGCTCAGCCAGCCGGGGTGGGGGTGGGGGCTCACCTGCATCTGGACAGGAATATTCAGTCGGTTTGCATTGCGCACCTGTCTCATTAGCAATATGTACAGCAGTTCCAGATGGGCTCTTCCATCACAGTGAAGACCAAAAGGTGCACCAAGAAAAGCCTGGGGGTCTTTGTGGATGTGTGTGTGGGGGGGGCACTTCATCCATTCATCTTTGCTCTTCGTCTCTTAGAATCCACCTCCTGACCGCGGGGGGGGGGGACAGACGGACACAAGGCCAGAACAGCCCTGCCTCCGTTCACCACCTTCCTTCCCTTTGGCAACTGCGGTGAGGAAGAGTTCCCATGGGGCAGGGTGGGGGAACTGTTAGCAGTTGGCTAGGACAGGGCTCAGCAGGCCCTGCTTGTCGCCAGACTCTACACTTTAGCAGCAGGAAGTTTTCCTTTCAATGTCCAGACCAGTGAGGAGACCACAAAGCAGAGAGACTCACACAACACACCCCCCCACACACACACACACACACACACACCCCCCCCCCCTGCGTGCACTTTTGGGCAGATGCTGCAGCCAGGGGTGGGCTGGGAGACGGGGGAGGCCCACGCCACTCACACCGCCTGGCCCAGGGAGGGAGGGAGGGAGGGCGCCTCGCCTGGTCTCCAGGGACCCCCTCGCTCCTCTGCGGCCAGCGGCAGCAGCAGCACACAGCACAACCCACAGGCCGGTTCCTTTTGGAGTTTCTTTATTTAAACTGAGTGTTGTGGCTGAAATCAGAAACAAATCCTCCAGTCAAAAGAAGCCTTTTGCTCATTCTGCACCGTGGTGAAAAGGGTTTGTCTTTGGATTTTATTTAAAGCATGAATTTCTTTTTGAGGAAAAGAAAACAAAAACCAGAAAACAGAAAACCAAAACCAAAAATCACACACACATACAAAAAACAAAAGTCATTGGAAAAGGAACACGTGCCCCCCCCCATCCCCGGCACCCCAAGAGAAGCAAAGGCTGACACTGTTCCAAACAGAGCCTTCGACACATTTACAAAATGCGGAAAGGAAGAAGTCAAAGGAAGAAAAAGAAGACAGAGTTAAGTGCACAAGGGTAACAGACATGTATACACCTTAAAAAGTTTCGAACCCCCAACAAAAATATTCTGCAAGGGATCCTACTGACCCCCAAACCCTTTGAATTTTTTCCCTTAGTTTTTATAAAATAATTATGCAACCACCCTCTAAGAAATGAAGGCAGTGACCGCAAGTGGAAGATTACAAGATGGAGAAGGGAGTCGAGGTACAAAGGGGGGAAAGCTTCGGCAAGTCGATGGTGGATCTCTATCTGGCTAGGAATGAACAAGACAACATCAAATGAGAAGCTGCCAGCTGGACCATACAAAAGCTAAATGTACACAAAAAGGGTTCTCCTTTTAAATCTACCGCACTGCTTCAGTTCATTTCCAATGCAACAATCTACTCAACACCAAAAATGGTCATATCTATCATAAATACAGAAAGTCAGTTGTTTTAAAACTTATTTTTAAGCTCCAAGTCCTTAACACTCTTTGTGTGTTGTTGCGTTTCTTTTTTTTCTGAAAAGTGGGAGTGCTGAACTTTTCCCCTTGAAACTGGCGTCAGCAGAAAAGCTACCATTAAAATCCCCAGAAAGCTAACTCAGTTCACATTGTTTGTCTCTTGAATACTTTCTGCCCATCTTTAAATTAACAAAAGAGGAAAAAAACAAAACCTTTTCTTGGGGAAAAAAAAACAAAACCAAAAAAAGAAATTATATATATATTCATATAAAACAATGATTCTGAAAACCGAACAAAGTGTGAGCGATTGACCTGAGAATCAAAAGACGTTACATTTCTCTCTTTTTCTTTTAGCAAGCCATTGGTATCGGAACGCTACGATAGCGAGACATTTAAAACTGAAACCGGGTGGTCTGCTTTCCCATACAGGTATGCCGGCCTCAGCTGGGCTCTCCTGGAAGGGGGAGCCGAGGGCCACAGGCAGTGACTGGGCAGGGGTGGGACAAATGCCTGCCTGCCTGCCTTCCTCTCTCACATGCTCATTCTCTCTCTCTCTCTCTCTCTCTCTCTCTCTCAATCTCGTGCCTTCGAGACCAACAAAGTGGAGCCAAAAGACAATGGGCTTCATTCAAAAGAAAGCAATGGGAAACCTGCCGGCATCGGTATATGGGAAAACACCCCACACTTTTCATTTCTTTTCTTTTTTTTCTTCTTTTTCTTTTTTGGTTAGAAGCTTTGGAATTGCAGTTAGTCTTTTTTTGAAATTGGTTTGTTAACTTTTTAATTTTTTCTAAATTGTTCCTCTTCAAAGCTTACAATCGAAAAGTGTCCATTTCTAGGCTAGCGAGAGCGCGGTCCTTGGGGCAACTCGGCTCTTCAGGCCTATCCGCCAGGCTAGCCGGTCCGTCGGACTTTTGGCTAAGATCTGAGTCAGACTCCTCCAAATAGTCATCTGTTGGCATCGAGGGCTGAACCCCTGAGGTGCTGCATGAACTTGAGGTAACCGTTGAAGATGAGGAGAGAGGCGGAGGCGGCTTCCGCGGGGGAGGCCGGCTGACCCCTTGGGGCCAAGACTTTCTGGAGGCGTGGGAGGAAGAGGAGGAGGAGGAGGAGGAAGCGGGGGGCGGGGGGGAGGGGCTGTCCTTTGAGTGAGCGGCAGACTGCGAGGTAGATGCGGTGCTGGGATCGGGGAGGCAGGCGGAGTGAGGTAATAGACTGGGGTGCTCTTTGGCGTTTCTTGCTGCTCTTGGGATTGTTCGATGTTTGTGGGGGGCAGACTCGAGATGCTGTCGGAGGGCTTCGTCCCCGCACACCGTGCTCTCGCACGCCACGCACTGGTACGAGCCGCCGCCCTTGCCGCTGCCGCCAGCAGGCACGTGGAGCACCATCTCTTGCAGGTTCACCACAGACGGGCCGAAGCAGCGGAGGGACTTCAGGTGGTCGCTGGCGGCCTCCTGGGTGCTGAAGCCCGCCTGGCACTTGCGGCAGACCAGCTGGTACTGGACCCTGGGGACGATGAAGGGGTCCCACAGGGCGGGCACGGTGCCGTGGCCTTCTGCTTCGGGCTCTTCTCGGGGTGTGGGCAGGTGGGGGGACACCTCGCGGGGGGCGTTCTTCTGCTCTTCTTGCTGGGGGGGTTCTTTGGCAGGGTCTTTCTCCGGAGTAGCCGTCCCCGAGGGGACTGGGGTTTGGCTTCCTTTGGGGGGCGGCGGGGGCGGCTGCTGCTGCTGCTGGGGCACTTGCCTCTGCCGCTGCTGCTGCTGCTGCTGCATCTGCACTGCTTCCTGCACACTCTGTTGGTATTGCTGGTAATGCTGCAGCAGAGAGCCCGAGGACAAGCCCAGCAAGGCCTGGGACAGCGCCGGGCTGTAGGGGAACAGCCCTTCCATGCCGTACAGGGGCTGCAGGTAGCCGCTCTGCAAGGCTCCGGGGATCTGTGGGGTGTAATAGGGAGAAAACCCAGGGACAAAGTAGGGGAGGAACTGGCTCGTGAGCAAAGCGGTGGGGTCGGAACTCAGAGCGGCCTGCAGGGCCTGGAGCTGGGCGGGCTCCACCGAGTACTCCAGGGCAGGCAGCGCGGCGGAAAGGGCCGGGGCGGGCGCCTCCACTCTGTCCTTCTTGGGGGGGGTCAGCAGAGACTCCCCCTTCCCCTGGGGGGCCTTCTTCTCCTTCTCCTTCACCTTCTCGCTCTCCTTGTCCTTCCGAGGCGTGGGCTGGCCCGGCTGCTGCGGGACTGATGCCGTGGTGGCTTGTGCTGGCGTGGGGGAGCTCACGGAGGCAGAGGGCGGCTTATTTGGTAATCCAGAGGTGGGGAGGCCGGGCGAGGGGACGCTTGTGCTGGGCAGACCCATCAGGCTGGGCTTGGGAGACGTTAAAGCTGGAAAGCAAGAGGAGGAGTCACATGCTGGGGAGGCAGCCAAGGGGGCTGCCCCCACCGCCCGCCCGCCCCTTGGCTGTGTCTGGTGGGGCAGGAGGAGGCCGCGCCCCCCACGCCTATGCTTCCCAGGGAAGTAGCCTGGGCAGGGCAGAGCGGGGGAAGAAGAGAGCGGGCAGAAGCTTCGCCTGCTTGCTGCGGGTGCTGGGGTGGAAGGGCAGCAGGGAGGACGGAGGGCTGGGCCATGGGTGGGAAGGGTGGCCACACGCAGCCATCTCCTCTGGGCAAGCCTGGAGGAGGGAGGGAGACCAGCTACAGGCAGGACGATCCCCCCCCGCCCCCCAGTTCCTCTGAAGGCACCTGGCAGCCGGCTACTTTGACCTCGCTGTGTCAGGCGGCAGCTCCAGCGCAGCATTAGCAGCCAGTCTCCTCGAGCGAGCCGCCTCCGGGGTGGCACAGCCCTCTGCTAGATGAGGAATCGCCACCTCCGTGGCCGGGCAGCAGGAGCACAGGAAGCTCCGTGCCTCCAGGTCCTCGCCAGGGGCCACCCTGCGGACAAGGCGCCCTGGTCCCGTGGGCACAGTCCTGCTCGGGACTCCCAGAAGCGCAAGCGCAGCACCTGCCACCAGACGCCCCGGCAGGACAGGGGGAGGCTAGCTGGCAGAGCGCTTTGCCGTGGGGAGCCTGTGCCTCGCCAGCATGCCTAGCGTGGCCCGGGCACTGCCGGGAGGCCCGCACGGGAGCCAGCGCCCTTTCCCTCCCCCTCCCGGCCACTGGCCTCTGAGCCAAGAGGCAGGTGGCGGCCGCACTGCCCCTCCACGTGCCACCCCCAGGCCCCCTCCCCGCAGACGAAGAGGCCCCTCCCCCGGGTGCCCCCACCACGCAGCCAGCGGCTCACCTGTGTTGGAGCCCGGCAGGGAGGGGCTGTGGAGGCCCGGGAACAGAACCGGCGGGATGCCCTGGAGGGCCGGGTAGGCGGCAGGAAGGCCGAGGGACTGCAGAGGGGGACCGTCAAAGATGCCCTGCTGCTGCGCCGCCAGGCCGAGGACCTCGTTGGCCTTCTTGATCCGGTCCAGCTCCTGCTGAGCCATCAGCTGGCGGACAGTGGCCGGGTCAAAGTACTCTTTCTCTTTGTCCAGCTGGCTTCCGATGGTGTCCTTCACTTTGGAGATGTGCTGCTGGGAGAAGATATGGTCGCGTACAGACAGGCGAGCGCTGTACTTGATGCCACACAAAGTGCACTCAGTCTTGGGCCCCTCGTAGCTGGTCTGGTTGATGCCAAAGTGCTTGGCCATGCTGAGCTTGGACTTCTTCTCCTTGGCCCGGGCATTCTGGAACCAGACCTGGACCACCCTCTTGGGCAGCCCGATGTCGTTGCCCAGGACCTCGCACTCCAGCATGGTGGGCGTCCTGTAGTCGTTGAAGCAGGACTTCAGGACCTTCAGCTGGAGGTTCGTCATCTGTGTGCGGAAGCGCTTCTGGCCCGGCCGGTCCCCGCCGTCCACAGACTTGCCTGCAGAGCCGCTGGTGCCGGGGCTAGGGGAGCACGGGTCTGCCAGGCTGGAGGTCTCACTGTAGTCCACGGTGCCCTCATTGTCATAGTCCTTGCTGTAGAAGCTGGGAGCCGGGCTGACCAGGCCAGAGGACAGCCGGTCTTCGTACTCAGACATGGCCATCATGGCGGCCTTGGTCAGACCCTCACTGGGGCCCGGGAGGCCTTTGGCATCCATGGCAAGCCCAGCGGCACCCTCGTTGTCTGCGGTGCCCTCGTCACCGGTGGTGGTGTCTGTGATGGCCGTGTTGACAGAGGAGCAGTCGTCGTTGTCCAGCTTCGCTGGGTCAAAGCTGAGGTTGACCGATGACAGGGACGGGCTCTCAAAGTCCTCCATCCCTTCGACCTTGATGGACGATGGACTGAGCAGCGTGTGAGGTGAGAGCTCCAGAGACTTGCTCATGGGCGAGAGGGCCTGGCTGTCGCTGGCGATGGGGGGCAGGTGGGAAAAGCCTGTTCCCTCAAAGATGTCGGCCTTCATTTGGAGTCCTCCGTCGCAGTCCAAAAGCATGGCCGACAAGGTCAGGTTGTAGCCCGCCCGCTTTGCCTCATGCCAGTGACGGGACCGGATGTGTGCCTCGAGGGCTGTTTTCGCCTTGAAGAGCGCCCGGCAGAAAGGGCACCGCCGGTGGGCTTGGGCCGGCCCCACCGCCCTGAACTGCCCCTTCCGCTCCCGTGCCCGCGTGTTCTGGAACCAGACCTGCACGACGCGCTTCTTCAGGCCCACCTCGTGGGCAATGTGGTCCAGCATCTTGCGGGTGGGGTTGGAGTCCAGCAGGTACTTCTGGTAGAGGACTTCCAGCTGCTCCGGGGTGATGGTGGTGCGGAGGCGCTTGTCCCGCTGTGGCTCCTCCCCGCCCGTGCTGCTGTCATTCTCCCCAGGGCTCGCGCCGGCCTTCTCCTCCAGCTTCCGCTTCAGGGTGCTCAGGGTGGGCGTCGGGGTGGAGGGCGAAGTGGCAGAGCTCATGGGCAGCTGGGGGAGCGTCCCAGACAGGAGCTGGCTGGCCAGCAGGGGGTTGCTGGGGTCAAAGAGCATGAAAGGCATGTCGAGGGCCCTGTCCAGGAACTGCGGGTGGATGAACTGGCTCTGGGCACTCAAGAAGTGCAGCTGCTGATGCTCCTGCCAGTGCTCGAAGGAGGGGAAGGCCAGCTTGCACTGGTCACACTGGTAGGGGATCAGCTGCGGAGGCAAGTTTGCGAGCGGCTGGGGCGTGGCGGTGTGGAGGGGCTTGAGGGGCAGGTGGGAGAGCTGGGAGGGGCTGGGGCTGGACTGCGAGAGGAGGCAGGGGGGAGGCGGGACAGCTGCGGGGCCGGCGGGGAGGGCTTGGGGTGGGCGGGGCCAGCCTGCTGCTCGCCGTGGTCGTCGGGCTGCTGCGGCTGAGGCACCTCCTGCTTTGGTTGTACTTGCTTCTCGGGGGTTTGGTTTTGCTGCTGCGTACTTGGAGGTTCAGGTTGCTTTGGTTTCTCATCTGTGGCTTCTGCTTGAGACGTGTAGAGAGAGGAAGAGTCCTCTGCCTCGGAGGCCATCTGTGGCAGGAAAGCCGAGGAGGAGGAAGGGGCCGCGTTGGCAGAAGAGGTGGGGGTGCTGTATGCCTGCGAAGGCATCGGGGTGCTGCAGGAGGAGCTGGTCGGGGTCAGGAGCTCTGCCGCGTCCATGGAGTCCTCGTTCTGGCTGTCGTCCTGCCCCTCTTCGTCCTCGTCCTTGTAGCACAGCTTCTTCTGATGTTTGATGAGGTCAAAGATGCGCTGAAAGACGAGGCTGCACTTCTTGCACTGGTAGCTGAGGTTGCTGGTCCGGATGTACCGGTCGTTGGTGAGCTCCCGCCTCTCCCCGTCTTTGCCTTCTCCTTGGTTCTCGTAGTTCTTCCGGGCCTTCTGCCGGGCATTCTGGAACCACACCACGATCACGCGGGTCGGGAGGCTCAGCAGGCTGGAGAGCTGCTCCAACTCGTCGTCCTTGTTGGCGTCGAAGAAGTCCTGCAGGACCCGGAGCTGGTAGTCCGTGAAGCGGGTCCTGGAGGACCGCTTGCTCCCCCAGTACTCGTGCTTCTGGGGCTCGGGCGAGGGCGGCCGGGAGTCCACCTTCAGGTCCTCCAGGCTGGTGATGGGAGGGTTGCTGAAGTTGTAGGGGGAGTCCTTGTTGCGCTGGCGCTCCTTGAACAGCGTGTTCCTGAACCAGTGCTTGATCACCTTCTGGGGCAGGCCCGACTTGTCCGCCATCTCCTTGATCTGCTCCTCGCTGGGGGAATTGTTGATGTCAAAATACTGCCGCAGGACCCGCAGCTGGTCATCCGTGATGCGCGTGCGCGGCCTCTTGCTCTGCTGCTGCTGCTGCTGCTGCAGGAGGCCCGGGTTCAGCTGGTGCTGGTAGAGCTGAGCCAGGTCCGCGGGCAGGGGGTCGACGGGCCCCAGCTGGGGAGGCAGCTGGGCGGGCAGGGTCTGCAGGGGCAGGGTCTGCATCATGAGGGGGGAGAAGAGGGGCAGCTCCATCGGCATGGACAGTTGGCTTGGCAAACGTCTCCAGCTGCTTGAAGGGGAAGTAATGCTGATGGACGTGCTCCTGGTGGCTCTTTAGGATGAGGACGTTGGAGAAGAGCTTGCTGCAGGAGGAGCACTCCAGCTTCTCCACGCCGCCGCCCCCCTGCTCCGGCCTACCCGCCTTCTTCTGCACCTTCTGCTTGTTCTCGTTGTACTGGATGACCAGCTCAAAGCCAAAGTTCTCCAGCAGGGCCTTCCTGGCATTCCCTCGTGCATCGGATGCAATGCGGGGGGGAGGGAGCAGTGGGGGTTCTGCGGGGGCCCCTGCTCCCAGGTCGGGCTTGTCCTTGGGCTTGGGGGGGTGGGGAGGGAGGTCCTGGGGGGTGGGGCCGCCCTCCCCCTTCTCGGAGCGCTCCTGCTCCCCCCGCTGGCCGTCCTTCTCCTTCTCCTTGGCCGCCGCGGACTTGGCTTTCTTGTCCGGCAGCTGGCTGTGCTGCAGGAGGATGCAGTGGGGCGGGGGCAGCTGCCCCGGGGGGTGGCTGGGCTGGGGGAGCTGCACCTTCAAGTCGTCCAGGAGGCCGGGCCCCGTCGTCCCTGTCAGCGTCAGGGTGCCGCTGGTCACGGGCAGGCTCACCTCCGGGTTCAGCTGGAACTCCGCGCTGGGAATGTAGAAGGGGAAGAGGAGGTGCTGCTGCTGCTGCTGCTGCTGGAGCTGCAGGAGGGTCTCCGTGGTCATGGGGAAGTGTGGCAGCAGGGCTGGGTTGAAGAGCTGGGACTGCAGAAGGGCAGCCTGCTGCTGCAGCTCTTGCTGGAGCTGGGCCTGGGCCTGCGCCTGGGCCTGCGCCAAGGTGTGTGCTTGCTGCTGCTGCTGCTGCTGGCGGGAGGCAATCATGTCAGCTAGTTTCTTGCGGTGGACCTCTTTGGGCTCAGAAGGGCTCGAAGCAGCTGCCGGGGCGCTACTGGTGCTGAGGGGTGTGTGCAGGGGAGGGACCCCGGCGTTCTCACAGGAGACCTGGCTGAGGAGGCTGGAGACGGGAGCTGTGCTGGCCGCGCTGACGCTGGCCATGGTGATCGTGGTGGGCGCGCTGGTTGTGCTGAGGGGGCTGGGGGTGGAGGGACCCAAGGGGATGCCCCCACCACTCCCACCCCCACCAGCAGCTTCTAGCTTGGCCGCTCGTGCTTTGGTCTGGTGCAAGACGGACCTCATATGGATCTCCAGGGTGGAGCTCTGGCTGTAAGCCACGCTGCAGGTGTTGCACTTGAAGGGCTTACTGTCCGGGCTGCTGGTGGGCTCTTGCTGGCCGGTGGTGGACTCCTGGAGGGCTCGCTTCAGCTTGTGCAGGTGAGACACCGAATTGTAATGGACCAAAAGGATGTTCTTCTGTGTGAAGGACTCTTTGCAAACTGTGCACTTGTAGGGACGGGACGGGTCCAGGAACTTCTCCATCGTGAAGTTGGGGCCTTTCCGGAACGGGAGCGCCCGCTTCGGCTCAGAACCAGAGTCCTCCTGCACAGACCCAGAGTCGCTCCCCGCGGGGCTCTGCTTGTCTTCCAAGTCGCTTTCCTCCTCCTTGTCTTCCTCTCCCAGGAGGGCGTGGTCTTCTGCCAGGGAGGGGTCACCCATGGCGAGCAGGTCTCCGTTGACGAGGAGCCCACTGTACAGCTGCTGGATGTCGGCTTCGCTCAGGTCCAGGTGGCTCGTCTCCAGGTGCTTCTTGAGGGCTTGGAAAGTGCGGAAGCTGCGCTGGCAAAGGCAGCACATGGTAGCCGCGCGGATCACGTGGTACTGGGAGTGCAGCTGCAGTTTCTCGACCGTTTTGAAGGCCAGGCTGCATTGATTGCAGCGATATTTGTACACGTGCCGGTCAGAGACGGGCAGCTGCGGCCGCTTGGTGTGGGCCTCACTGAAATGTGCCTGGAGAGCAGTGGAGGTCTTGAACCCTTGGCTGCAGCCCTTCTTCCAGCAGAAAAGCCCAGCATCCTCTCTGGCAGAGGCCGGGTCGGTTGGGACAGGCTTCGGCTCCCCCCCAGGCTCCGTGGGCTCTGCAGGCAGCGGGCCTTTCCCAGGCTCCTCTGGGGGCTCTGTGGAGACGGGGAGAGAGGGAAGACAAGGAGGCCATCGAGCGCTCCGTCTCACTTTCGCTCAGGCAACTTGAGGCTCCATGCCAGAGTCCTCCCGCCCCCCGCCCCCCC